TTATCTACTTTTTCTGTCAATATACTGTTAATTTGTGGATTTAGTATCTGAAATTCTCGAAGAACGGTAATAGGCACATTTTTTTAAATATAATAAATATTCTACCACATTCACACAACGCCATCTAGTCCCAAACTAAGCAGAGCTTGTACTATGGCTACCAGACAACTGATATAAATACATATATACTTTTTGTAAAACATACTTATTATACATAACACCCAGACGAAATCAAACATTAAATGTTCATGCACACAAATGTTTTACTTTAGCGGGAACCGAACCCAAAGGTCGCCCTATGGAATAACAGCCCGTTACACACCATCACGTCGTCTAAAAGTTTAAAAGTATAGTTAGTATAATGTGAATGTTACAAAAGCGGTGGCATATGGTGATAGTATATAGTGTTAATCTCTACAATTACTGAAAAGTCCTGTTAACATTTAGTAGTTCAATTCTTAAGGTAGATTTTAAGCGATATATCAACGCGCTACCGTATAGATACTCCCCTCATAAGACGCATTCTATAATGAGGCTTAAAACGGCCTTATAGTTTGATAGTGTTAACTTAGAAACTTGATACTTTTACAGTTTTAAGCGACCGCTAACATAAGTATTACATCTTGATACTTTCACGCGATAGTGTAGGGAGCCTTGATAGAGAGACAGACGGATAAATGCGGCTTTTTTCACTTCTAAGATTATTGCGCTTAAAAGACGATTAAAAGTAAAATTAACTCATAATTCATCCACACAATATATTTATAAAATAGTACTTAAAGTAGGTGTTTTAATATTCACCTTTCTATAAGGTAAATTTATTCCTTCGCACTAACGTACGTGAGGTGGGGTCCTTTTTTAATATCGGTCCTCTGCTACCTTGTCTGAATAGCAAGCAACTCAGCCACTTGAGACTGAAGACAAACTTATACTGAATTTAAAGCTGGCGATATTGGATTAAAATCTTATTTAACCAGATCTATATCTACATGTCTATTCAATGTCTTGTTTTAGTTTATTAACCTAACTTGTTACTTGAATGGTCATTAAAAATAATCTCTAACTCTCTCTAATCTTAAACTAGGCAGTTTCTTAATACTTAAATATCATCATTATCATCAACAGCCTTTAATAGTCCACTGCTGGACATAGGCCTCTCATTAGAAGGGAGGTTTGGCCTACTATACCACGCTGGTCAGACGGGTTGGTATAGGGTTTGTGTCAAGTTTTTCTTCTTTTTGCAGTGCTGGTGTCCTGCGTTGCTTTGGGCCCTTAGTCCGTTCTTACGAATTGTGGTAGTGACATTCCGTATTCTTAATCCGCCACTACACGGACAGTACACTTACATATGATTGTGCTCATTACACAATTATTTGTTCTGGGTCGGATTCGAACCTACGACCTCTTTCCTCGCAGTTAGTATTACTAATCATTAGACCAATAAGACAGGTATATGTATATTTCGTTGGCACGCTCTGTAACCTTAGTTTTGATGGATTTTGTTGTTTAAGATGTCGTTAGATACCCTTAATTGTGAGAATGAAACTGGGTATATGAAAATCATAAAATGAAAATCACTAGTTTGTGAATTTTAAGTAAGTACTTATACATTTTATCCGTGTGGTGACGGATTAAGAATACAGAGTGTCACCACCCCTATTCATCCCGTGGGTGTCGTAAGAGGCGACTAAGGGAAAAAACTACGCAGAACAACAGCACTGCAGAGAGAAGGAAAACTTGAAACAAACCTTATACCAACCCGTCTGGCCAGCGTGGTATAGTAGGCCAAAACCTCCTTTCTAAGGAGAGGCCTATGTCCAGCAGTGGACTGTTAAAGGCTGTTGATGTTGATTATGACTTATACACTTTATACAGTCTGGTTTTTGTGCCTTTTTGTCAATAAATAGCTTTTATATTATATTAATCTTAACTGAGTAAGAAAATAAGTAAAATATCTAATGTTTAGAATGTCTCATACGCGTCTTATGAGAAAGTGACGAGTGTTTTATAAACACTTGTCTAACAACGTGACATATTTCTGTCATAACAATAATTCTAGTAAAGACTGTTATGTTATCAAACCAGCGGTATGCAGATGAGAAAGTGGAGGGAGGTGACTAAGGCGCAGATACTACTATTTCTGTTATTTTAGAAAGCAAAATGATTCTAGGCCTGTTAGTCTCTTCCGTGTGGTGACGGATTAAGAATGGACTGCACGAATGGCGTAGTGGTTTAAGCGGTGGCCACGCCGCTTACTACTACGCTGAGTGTTGTGGGTCCGATTCCCACATGGGACGACACTTTGTGCGATCCACAAATTGTTGTTCTGAGTCTGGGAGTTCTTTGTGCACTGCAAAGAGAAGGAAAACTTGAAACAGACCCTATCACCCCGTCTGGCCAGCGTGGTAAAGTAGACCAAAACCTCCTTTCTAAGGAGAGACCTATGTCCAGCAGTGGACTGTTGTAGGCTGTTAATGATGATGATGTTTGTTTAGTGATTAGTGACCCTGAGTACTAAGCTCGAGGTCGTGGGGTCTATTCCCACAAAGAACAAATAATTGTATGATGAGCACGATCATTTGTTCTGTGTCTGGGTGTAATTTATCTGTATTTTTTACTTTACCCGAACTTGAAAAGAACGGGGTTCGATTCCCAGACATCTCTTACATTATTTCTATACACGTAATATAAGTTGGTAAATATTTTTTTTTTTATCTAATGTAATAAAAAAAATAAAGATTTTCCCCTTTTTCCTCTACAAGTTCTGTGAGACTTTATTTCTTGTTATTAAATTTCATGGTTCATTTGAATTATCTATAATGAAGTGTTAAAATTTAGAACTTCTACCTATAATAACAATTTAGTTTAGATTAATAAGAAACTTTAAATACTTTTAGTCTAACTATTAGACGCTAGATGGCAGTAATATAAATAACATGAATGGCAGTCGTATAAAACAACATATCGTTCAACGAACTTTTAAGTAGCGTTTTTATTAAATTTTGTTCAGCTTTCTTTGTCGGATCATTTGAATCTAATATAAGTAAAGCTTGTATGAGTCACAACTGACGCAATGATTCCAGACAAGCATTCAAATTAATGATTGTTTCATTGTCTTACAGTGATTTGACTTAATGATATTGTTCATTAAACAACTTAGGACTACATATTTGGAGGAAATAAGTTAACGTTTATTACATAGGTGCTTTGGAATTTTTTGCTTTAAGTGCTAGTAGAAAAAGGGCGCAAGTCTATTGAAGCAGTTTTATGTAGATGTCTTTTTTTGGTATTGTAGAGATATTGTGTTATTATTAATAGATTTTGGGTCAACTGAACAATAAAATGTTATGATTTTGTTCGCAAGTGTTGTACTATGGAGAGAATGTGGAACCCTTATTACTACCAGGACATTTACACTCGGGCACGCCGTCATTGCGGCGGTAAGACCCGTTATGGAGGATTGGCTCGAGAGGCGTCACGGGACCCTCTCATACCGATTGACGCAGGTGATCACTGGGAAGGGATGTTTCGGAGATCACCTGTGTCTGATCCGCAAGGAGCCAACGCCTGAGTGCCACCACTGCGATGGCCAGACCATGGACACGGCTCTCCACACGCTGGCAGAGTGCCCGGCGTGGGTTGAGCAGAGGCGAGACCTCGTGGCGGCCATCGGAGTGGGAGTTCTCTCGCTCGATAGCCTGATTGCGGCTATCGTGCGGAGCGAGAGTGCGTGGAACTCTGCCGTCTCCTTCTGCGAGCAAGTTATGCTCGCGAAGGAGACGGCGGAGCGGGACCGGGAGAGGTTTAGAACTCTCCCGGCCCGCCAGGCCCGGGCACGGGCCAGGCAGCGCAGGCGACTCAGGCGCCGGAGGTCGCAGAACGACCTCCGTCCTCCATAAGCGCAGGCCTGGGGGTGACAGGTGAGGCCATCTGTCACCCTAGCAGAAGCAGGCCGGGGTGGCGGCGAGCGCGTTGCGAAGCGCGCTCGCTTCCAGGGAGCACAGGGAACATGGGGTTCCCACACGGGGCGGGGGTCGTCTACTCGTCTGTAGATGACCCGAGGTATGTCGGGGCACCAGGGCCTTCCTTTCTAGGGTATACCTGGTTCCCCGGCTATTAGTACCCGGCGAAGGCGTGCGGTTTTAGTCGGTTCGAGTCCGACATGGCCACCGACAGGTGGTATCCGAGGGGATTTCCGCACGGAAAAAAAAAAAAAAAAAAAAAAAAAAAAAAGGACATTTACACTTTGTTTTTTTAAGTATCAAATAAATTAAACTTAAGTATTTATGGATCTACTGCAATTTCTTTTTTACATTAAAATAACATATTTATGTTTATCCAGAAGGGGAAACTGTCATTAGACATTTTAATTGTGAAGCTGTTTTAATTTAAAAATTATTATCAATACACAAATGAACAAAAAAATACGAACATTCCATGAAATGAGGTAATCAATTCTAAGATCTGGCTGTTGGGGTTGACTGCTGTTCAGGGCCTTTCGGCACTGGTAACCTCGAATATTGGAGCCAGCGGACTATGTGCCTGATTGTAACAAATTGTCATTTATGTAAAACAGATCTATATTTAGGGAAATCGACTGTACGGATGGCGGTTTAAGCGGTCACCGCGACGCTTCATACTACGCTAAATGTTGTAGGTTCGATCCCCACATGGGACAACACTTTGTGCGATCCACAAATTGTGATTCTCAGTCTGGGTGTTCTTTGTGTCCATTTAATGTATGTTTGTAAAGTCCTCCGCGACACGGGATATATAGTTCGGGAATTGCGTTGAAGGAGACCTCTCGTACCACAGGAACAGCATAAAAGTTTTTTTTAGATTGGAGTTGGATTGCAGCGAAATTATCATCCAACCTAATCTCTTATAGGCCATTTAAAAAAGGTGTAATTGGTGAATCAGTGTTGCTACTGAATAAGAGAGATCCAGGCTTAAATTGTTTAGGCGAAGACTATTAACATCTGCAAAATTTCTCATTCCAGCTCTCCTCATGCAGCAGCACTCCCGTAGAAGACTCAGTAGTATCAGTGTACACAACGCAGTCCACCACCGCCGGAACGAACCCCTCATTGGATGTATACCATCAAATTGCCAACAACTTAGCTGAAAGAATCACTTCGCCCATTTACAGGTAATTAAAGCATAATTGTTAGCCTACTTACCAAGCTAAGCTAGAAATAAAACGTTCCTTGAATTATCTTCTCTTCTGATCTCTTTTTGCTTCTATTATACTTCATTTTTTCCCAAAGTGTTAGGTCATAAGCAATAGAATTGACTCCTGTTACGTGAATGGAACCGTGTACTTGTATAATTGGCAAAATATGACTGTAGATTATCCTTCTGTCCACCCGAATAAGATGTGAGGTGTAGGCCCTACATGACGTAGACGTTTAAAAGTTGTGGGTCCAAATTTAAAGAGTACTCTATCGATATGAACGAACGACTGGACGAATGGCGTAGTTGATTAACCTCGCCGCTTCCTTCTGCACTGATGTGTTATGCGTGCGATCCCCACATGGGACAACACTTTGTGTGATCCACAAATTATTGTTCTGAATCTGGGTGTTCTTTGTGTCCGTTTCATGAATGTTTATAAAGTCCCCCGCAACACAGAATATATTACTACTGCGGGAGTTATCTTTTAATCATTAAAAGAGTTCGAGGGAATTTTACATCACTGGCGACGTATTATAGACCTAGCTAGAAGTAAACATGAAAATAGGTATATTTGGCAAGTTATTGATAACTTTAGACATTGGTGCGTTAAAGCAATAAGTTAACTTTTCGACTTGGTATAGATATTTGTTTAGATGCCCAATTTTAAGAGAAAAATCGCGGACTATCTTGAGTCTAAGCTGGGGGGAGCACTAAGTTTACCTACGAGTATATATGGGATTTGAATAGTCCGTGATATGTGGTTCTTGATGAAAAAAACACTTTTTTTGTTACCTAATGGTTTTCATTTTCTTCAATATTTTTTAATTCTTGTTATGCCTTATTTTTTTTAAATTGTAGAATGGTACAAGACTTATGTTAGTCGTGATTGCCTATAACTCAATGAGCACAAGGCATGTTTTAGTATAATTTTTAATTATTGTAAAAATGTGTATCGTTTGTTGGCGATCCCAAGAAATAAATAAATAGTTACCTTTAACCAGTACAACAAAAGCCCAATACAATAATAATGTATTCTAAGCATGTACCGGTAGTTTAATTGTCGTGATTGTACAACGATATCAATGGGCTTCCTTCAACAATACAAAGCCAATTTAACTGTTGCTTGTAATGCAGCCTGCGTTGTGACAACTAGGATTTGAACAGCCTGTACTGGGTGTGGAATACGTGTCCTACCCCAGTAAATATGTGGTTTTAACAACATTAAGTCTGAAAGTTAATCTCAAACTGGAAGAATGCACGAGAGACGCAGGGGAATTCCCACTCGGCCAAAGATTGCCTGGTTTAATATTGTGATGTTTTTTCGGGTATAATAAATCTTGCTAGACATTAAGGAGGATTTATATTGACGATAAAGAGACCCGTAGTTTCGGTAAAAAGGAAAATCTGAACTAAGCCAAAGGGGCTTCGCTGAGTTTATTTTTAGTAATTTTTTTATTAGGTACTGATATTCCTTAAATGATTCCTTGACTGCATGAGTGGCATAGTGGCTACGCTGAGTGTTGTGGGTTCGATCCCTACATTTGACGACACTTTGTGTGACTCACAAACTCATTTCAAGTTCAGGAAGGACAGGAGGAAACGAGTAGACGACTCACCTGATGGTAAGTAACTACCCCCGTCCAAGAACATCTGTAACTTAAGGGTCACAAGTGTGTTGCCGCGCTCTGAGTTCCCTCCCCACAGAATCAATGGGAGAGGGTTTGAGAACCCTTAACCTCATTCACACGGTGAATAGCAAGGATGGAATTACTTGACACCAGTTTTCTGTGAAGCTGTGGTATCACTCTGGTAGAACCTCCCATATATACCAAAACATAGTTTGCCATCAGTTACAGCGTTACCGCACCTATCTCACAAGTATTATTAATATAAGTGTTAATTACAATAACAAATGTATTGCTAATTCCCAGATTCTTGGGCTACAACAGAACTACCAGTCCACCAGCTACAACAAAGCCACTTTGGCCTGAGTTAGAACTCCTTGACGACGACGATCTTACGACAAAACATGAATTAAAACCAGTAGACAATGAAATTGAGCAAACAAGAGATGTGGAAGAATTGTCTCCAGGTATGTACGATTTCTTGATAGAACATTTAAAGTCTAATAATTAGAAAATTTGAAAGAAAGAAAGAATAATTAGAAAATTTGAAGAAAATAATATACCGGTATTAAACGCTACTGCACTCACAGAGCAGGTGTATTGACTCCTATGCGTAACTCTTAGAGTTAGTCGAACTTCCAGTCCACTTACATTGAGAAACCCATTACATTCAATTCATCATCATCATCATCAACAGCCTTTAATAGTCCACTGCTGGACATAGGCCTTTCCTTAGGAAGGAGGTTTTGGCTTACTATACCACGCATGCCAGACGGGTTGGTATAGGGTTTGTGTCAAGTTTTCCTTCTCTCCGAAGGGGTGTTGTCTTGCGTAGTTTGTTCCCTTAGTCGCCTCTTACGACATCCACGGGATGAATAGGGGTGGTGGCAGTTTGTATTCTTAATCCGTCACAATACGGATTTAATTTAATTATGACCCATAATTTCCATGTAGTGACGGATTAAGAATACGGTGTGTCACCATTCCTATTCATCCCGTTGGTGTCATAAGAGCCGACTAAGGACGCAAACTAAAAGCACTGCAAAAATAAAAGCACTGCATGCAGAGAAAGAAAACTTGAAATAACCCTTATACCAACTCGTCTGGCCAGCGTGGTAGTAGACCAAAACCTTTTTTTTTCCTTCTTTCTAAGGAGAAGCCTATGTCCAGCAGTGGACTACTAAAGGCCAGTGATGACTAGCAAAATCCCTATATAAGTATTTAACAAGATCCAAAAAACTATTTCTGCTTTTCAGGCTTGATGCAACCTCAAAAGAAACCTGAAAAAATAACTCTTTATTCTAGTTTAACGTCAACATATCTCCCTGCTAAATTGGCAGTAAATAACAGCAGAAAGAATGAGGTAGCCTTCGATGGCCTGGATTTAGATGACGTAGATATGGACAGAAAGAAAACAAGGGAAGGCCCTTTCATTTATGTGATGGAGTTTATAGGAAGCGTCTTTCAGTTGATTTGGGGGGGTCTCACTAGTCTTTTCAAGCCCACTAGTGGATCATCTCCAAGTAGATAATATTTTTTTCGAAAAGTTTTACTCTTTATATGTTTTTTTATTATTTTAAAAGAGAATTGTTAAAACATTCGCACTTTTGTAATTTCAATCTTTTTCGTTATCTACAATAATGTTATGTAATAGTAATTATGTAAAACTGAGTAGATTCTTTTACACTTCTAGTAACTATTTATGTTTTCGGTACGGTATTTATAACATTATTGTAACGAGAGTTATAGTTATCGAGAAAGGTTAGAATATGAAAATTTAAAATTGGAAATTCGGTTTAGACCAATACTCAAAATATTTGTAATTCGTTTTTTTTAAATAAACTGCTCATAGAACAAAATTTAGAATTACTTCTTACTTTTAACAGAAAATAAGGATTCCCGTATTTGTATACTCGTATGTATTTTTTAACTTTTGGAGTTAATTAGATTCTAGTTATTTTGGAGATGTTTATATTAAAAAGTAAAATATCAATTAAGGTAATTAAAGTGTGAACCTATTAAACAAGTAACGATACAAAAAATTGGTATTTTAATACCGTTCTTCTTCTGGTTCTTGTATATTCATTGTTACACACAAAAAGTGTTTATGTGAATATCATATAACTAGTTAGAAGCAACTATTTATTTTAAGTATTTCGAGGCTATAATGTTAATATAGTTTTGTAAATAATATTAAGGTTTTGTTATACACTTAAAGCGTTTTTGTACTTAAATATTGTTTGCGGTGTTTTTATATCATATTTAAAATACGTATTACCAGTGATTCAAGCTGTCTGGTGTCTTGTGTACACGATTTTAATATTTTTTTAAATTCATTAGTTAGTGTCTTAATATATAGTTATATTAGTTATTATATATTTTGATTAAAAAATATGTTTTTTTTTAAATGAAGCTGTACGGTGCCATTAAGTTGAATTTAGTCAAATTGGATTGTTTCAAAATTAAGTATGTGAATGATTGTGCTATAAATTAATAAATGAGATAAAATATAATAAATATGTTTTATTGTTCTATCTGTATTTAAAGAAAATATTTAAAACATTGCTATATAAATAAATTCGTGTGTTTTGTGTGAATCGAGTAAATATTTATCTTTAAAAATAATAAACATCCTGTGGCAAGAAATGGTGTTATAATAATAATATAATATTTCGGACATTGACACAAAACGCCATCTAGTTTTAAACTAAGCAGAGCTTTTAATATGAAAGCTAGATCGATAGAATACTTACATACTTTTTTTTTGTAAATACGTAGAATTTATACATAGAAAACACCCAAACGCGAAACAAATATTTGCAGATCATAAAAACATTTGATCCGATCTGAGAATCAAATCCGAGACCTCTCCTCTCCTCAGCATAGCAGACGCACGGCACAGTACGCACAGTATACCACGGCGCCACATATTTACAAAAGAAAAGTGTAAATGTATTTATAAAAAAAAGACGTGTGGCACTCGGGGACTGCCGCGGTAAAGCTATTGCATAGCATTTTGTATCAACTTATGCAATTATAATTATTTATTTATTTTATTTATGCAGTATTTCTTTTTCTTTGATATTAATTCAAGTTACACTTTTTGAGCGTGGTGACCGATAAGAAAACAATTTTTTTTCTTTTATTAAATAAAAATATTGAAGCATATATTACAATTTGTTTTTAAATAAATAAATAAAAAATATTATTATTAAATCAAATTACATATCCATGTAAGATTTTTCTGCATTATGTTGACGAAATTTCCTTTGACGTTCAGCATTTGATATTGGTACTGTTTTTTGTTTTGTTTTAAGCGTGAGGTTTTTTTTCGTTACGGAATTTCTGGATTCGGTCCCCGCGCTAAAGGCCCTCGATAGAAGCTATGCAATAGCTTAATAATATCAGTGTCTAGTGCCCATAGTACTCTGCTTAGTTTGGGACTAGATGGCGTTGTGTGAATGTGGTAGAATACTATTTTTATAATGAATACCATATTATATAGAGGTAGCCATATTATTTATATGATTAACTAAATATATTCTCAAAAACACAAGAAATGTTTCATAGGTTAAATCGAATTCACTGAAAAGCCAACAAGAGATGCGAAAACAAGCAAAAGGCGACCTTAAAATTAAGGCCTCATTTACACAGAAATCAATTTAATTTAATCTGCTAATCGTCATACACTTCAGTGACTATCTTCTATTGGATTTACGAATAAACCTTTAAGCCAGGGCTCAGTCAGGCCGGATTATTCCAATAAGTTCTATATTTTGGGCGCTCATTCATTCGGGGTCTTTGTGTGACTTCCGAGTATTCATTTTTCCTGGTGTTTAAAGCCTTATTAAACTAAAGATCACTTCATTACCTATACTAATGTTATATATCGACGACTGGATGGCGTAGTGGTTTGTGTAACGGACTGCTATTCCAAAGGTCGTGGGTTCGATTCCCGCTCAAGTCAAACATTTGTGTGCATGAACATTTGATGTTTGATTTGGTCTGGGTGTTTCTATGCATAATATGTATGTATTTATAAAAAAAAAGTATATATGTATTTATATCAGTTATCTAGTACCCATAGTACAAGCTCTGCTTAGTTTGGGACTAGATAGCGTTGTGTGTATGTGGTAGAATATGTGGTAGAATATATATATATATATATATATACCTGAAAAACATGTTTTTGTTTGATAAAAAGCGCTCTTTTTACGAATATAAGCATGATATGTATATTTCTATGTAAAGGAATCTTCGAACGTGCTTTTGACCCACTCTAAAACGTCGGATTGAATTGAAACTTCGCACACTTATCAAGGACCGATGACAATACAATAATTTAATAAATTGGTCTCATTATCCTGATCAGGATCTTCAGGATTAACGGCTTTTTCCATATCTAAAAATACGGTAGTGTCTTGTGCCATGTACTACGGCGTGTACTGAAGCATTTTTGAGTTACTTACTAGTTAGTTTTTAAAAAGAAAATAATCATCATTAAAGTACATCACTGTAAAGTAAAAACAAAAAAAAAACACACTTTTGTATGAGCCAAACTAAAAAAAACTATAAGTTCACAAAGAAAAGTTATTTTTCCAAAAAAAAGCGTGTTTTTTTTTCAAGATATTTTATAATTTAATAACTTTACTTTTACCAATATCTATTTGTCAATAAAATATTTACAACACTTCACATCTAGCACCCCATGCATTTTTAATAAGAGTATCAGACTGATTCTGTTTAAGCCTTGAGTTTGTTTGCCCTTTCTTCTCATAAGGCTCAACCCCTTGGAAACGGGAGGTTGTAGATCGGCACAAGCAGTTCATAGATTTTGTATGGGTTTGATTTTTGTTAAATTTATTTGCTTAATATTTGACAAAACAGAGATTGTTGCTTTTGTTTGTGTTGATCTATGATTTTAGAGTCTACATAAAAGACGATTTCAAACAATTTTATTTTTTTTATGAAATAAAGAGAGTTTGAGTTTGATTGAATAGATCTTTTTTGTGTTGGATATAGTGTTTATTGAGGAAAGTTGACATTAACATCGCACTACAACCTTTAGGATGAAACAATGATCGTAAAAAGCTACTTACATAATTATTAATCTATTAAGCTCCAAGGTTGGGATTTCCAAGACGTGATAATTTACAAAAAAACAATTTTTATTTACTCTTTTAATTTGGCAATAATTATTTTTTAATCGCTATAATACAACTTTAATTTTCTAAAGGATAGTTTAAACAAGTTATTTATAGAAAGTAATAAATATATATATATATATATATTTATATTAAAACCAGGTATAATATCAATGAAATCAAATTACTCTTGAGCAACTTCACTCACTCAGTGAAAATGAATCAAATAATTGTATTACACCGGTTTTCTGTGAGGCCGTGGTATCACTCCACTCGCGCCAGGCCAAAAGTAACGAAGAATGGCTCTCCTCTAAAAATATTTGAAATAGGATAATTCTAAAACAATATATTCCATTACATTATATTTCATAATATATAATTGTACATATGTAAAGTAATTAACACGACCGTTGAATACTCATACGATTACATATCTTTGAATTGTGTGACATTTTGAGCAGAAGGCCAATTTTCGGAATAAGAGTTTGGTCAAAATTCAGTTCCAATCAGCTCTCGACCTCGAAAAGGTGTTTTTGTGGTAGAATACTAAAGTATTACTAAGACCAGCAGATTACTGATTCAATTTACGTTTACTTCAAATCACATTACAGTCAACGTTGGATGTTTAATAATTTACTACGAAAATACTTTTTGAACGAAGTTCCTTATCGCGCGTTGTGAAAGGGGGCTAGAGGGAAAAAATTCTCACGAAAAGTTGTAACGACACTTTTTATGTCAGTCATTCAGCGCCATTTATCGAATAGATAGGAAATCATTACTTTTCATCTCAGTATTTATTTTGAATTGTCACATTTCAGTCATTCAGCGCCATCTATCGAATAGATAGAAAATCATTTCTCAAGGAGATTTTACCAATGTATAAATTGTTTCAATTACAAACCAACTGAAAAATATGTAGGTAATAGCCGCTTTCATAGATGGCGTTGTAATTAAAATCGTGTCGAATCAGTTTTACTCGATCGTCACAACTTCGTTCCTATCTGGTGTCCCACGACACCACACGGCTATTTTATGACAGTTGTGAGATCAAGAGTTGATCGGAACTGAATTTTGCACTGCCTGTTGATCCTGTGACCAACACACATTGTGTATGACAAAACGTCAGACAATTTAAGATTATAACGAGAAATAATAAGATGTATACACGGAAAAAGAATCTGCATCTGTTTTAGGGAACTATTACTAGAGAAATTGAACTAATAGGTAACGCAGCATGGTTTTTTTTTATGCTAGAGGGGGCAGACGAGCAGAAAGGTCACCTGACGGAAAGTGACCATCACCATGAACGTCTGCTACTCAGAAGTCACAAACGCGTTGCCAGCCGTTTAAGAAGGAGTACGCTCTTTTCTTGAAGGTTTGAAGGTCGTATCGCAAATACCACAAATACCAAATACCATAGACGATCACCCATTCCACAGATTGGTTGTGCGAGGTAAAAAGTGTCTCGAAAAGCGCACAGTAGTGCAGCGTCAACTATCCAGGTGACGAGTATGAAAATTTTACCGTATGGAACGATGGCGGAAAGTTGCGGCTGGTATTAGTCCGAATAATTCCTCAGAGTAATCTCCATGACATATGCGATAGAGAATGCAGAGTGACGCCATGGTTTCATTTTTTTACTCATAAATTTGAAAATTATTGTTGTTTCAAAACCGTTCTACGTCATCGGTTTCTCTAGTAATACTGCATTACAATCACAGATACTTCGTACTAATGACAAGGTATTTCGTTTGCCGACTATATTTATTTAGTATTTCCGTGTTTCCGTGTGGTGACGGATTAAGAATACATAGCCAGAGCCAGAGTAAGATCCAACTAAGGCAGCAAACTGCGCAGGATAACAGCACTACAAAGAGAAGGAAACTTGAAACCCTATATCAACCCGTCTGGGAAGCGTGGTATAGTAGGCCAAAACCTCTTTCTATGGAGAGGCTCTTTCTATGTAATGATGATTAATTTAGTAATAAATACGCAATTTAATTTACAAATAAATGATTAGAAAAATATTGATTATACAAACTTTTTAATGGTACTTTTATATTTGTTCTTTTATATTATTATACTAATTACAAAATCATATGGTAGCTTAAATAACCATAATTAATTGATTATAAATTATATTATTTCATTTAAATGCACCTGTTCTTGTCATTAACCAAATTATGGGGTATTTTGACAAGATTTCATATTTTAGCATAATATTACATGGGATTCAGCCCTTGCCTTTGTAACATTACTGAGAATTGATTGTACCGACTTGTAAAAATATCTGAAAAGGTTTACTTGCAGAAATAAATATTATTTCATTTCATTCATTTCATTTCATCATTTCAATTCATCATTTCATTTCATTTGATTCTGCTCTCAAAATATTAATTTTAAAATACAAATAAATATATTACAAAAATCAGTGAATCAGTAAGCTAAAAACAAACGTATGAAAGCAATATAGCATTAAGACTACAGCGTAAACTTGAGATCAAGTGGTTGAGAGTTCGAATCGAGTGAATGGGTGGGGCCCAGTGCACTTCCGAGTCTACCGACGTAAACCATCTCTTAATACAAGTATTTAGCTTCACTAAAGGAGTATAAAGAATACTAGTAATGTGTGACCAGATTACTATTCATGCTACTATTTTTAGGGTTCCGTATCTCAAAAGGTAAAAAAGGAACCCTTATAAGATCAGTTTTTGTCCGTCTGTCCGTGTGTCAGCACCGATTTTCTCAGGAACCGGTAGACCTAGAAAATTGAAATTTATACCAGGTACTGAGGTCTATGGTCCCTATTAGGTGTATAAAAATCAAGGTCCTGAGTCAACAGTCGATACAAACATATTGGCAAATTTCGATTTTTGCGAAAACTTGTAAGTACCAAATTTACCTTAATTTTCAACTTTTTTTATTTTTCAGAATTTTCCATTTACTTGTGATGACCTTGCTTTTAACCAAAATTGACAATTCTAGGTCAACCGGAAGTACCCTATAGGTTTTGGATCGAATCACGAAATTTGGCAAAAAGAAACGTCTTACAGCACAAATAAAGGAATAATTCCAAAAAATAAAAAAAAGTTGAAAATTAAGATAAACTCTGGTACTTATAAATTTTCTCGAAAATCTACGTAAAATCTGGGTAGGTACGGTACCCTCGGCGCACGAGTTCGACTCGTACCTGACCGGTTTTTTTTATACGACAAAAAACATAAATTTAAAATATCAAACTAGAAATGATGAAAGAAAACACTAAATTGATGAAATGAGAGTATTTGTTTGTCAACAACCAATACACAGTCTCATCAATAAAATTATATTATATGTGTATTATTAATAATTATATAATATTATATAAAATATATATCTTATATTATTTTTATATTTTTTGTCCAGTACGCCCACGCAAAGCAAAACAGTATTACTCTAAGATATTTCCTAACTCTCAAACTTTACGGAAACACGTCGAAATTCTTACTATAATAACATATTTTTGTCATAAAAGAAAGAAAAACACATAAATCGGAATAAGATTTATCTGTTAGATAATCTGAACACGTCACCCAAGTAGTGTACTTATATTTAATATGTTGAATTGTTATCAGAAATATGTCAAAATTTTGAAAAATAATTATCATCTAATTTGGTTGATTATCAATATTGTTTAAACAAGCTTTAAGGGAGCAAACTACGCAGGATAAAAGCACTGCAAAGAGAAGGAAAACTTATAACAAACCCCTATTTCAATCCGTCTGGCCAGCGTGGTATAGTGGGCCAAAACCTCCTTTCTAAGGAGAGGCCTATGTCCAGCAGTGGACTGTTATAGGCTGTTGATAAGTAAAACAGTTTATTCCGTACAAATATAAATACCACTCACGAAAGATAGAATCATCATCAGCCTATCCCAGTCCACTGCTGGACATGGGCCTCTCCCATTGCACGCCACTTAGATCGAAAGATAGAATGATGATGATGAAACAAGCTTTATGCATCAATTCTCAGCAATGTAACGTAAACATAACTATTTATTATTTAATAAGTATACACAAGTGGCTGCAAATATCTCAATTCAGTAGAAAGCCCCGATTCATCCTTTCCTAACTCGATAACCATTTCCTTCGCTCTGTTATTCGCGTATTCGTGACCACAGTCATGTCGCTCTACCATCTTGGATAATGCCATCTTCAGTTGACCCCGAGCACCTGTGCTTGTAGAATCCACCAGATTCTTCATGACATCTGGAGAGAAACCCTGAAAATTGAGATGGTAGTAATTAAAAAATTGGAAGAAGTTTTAACGGAATTGTTAGTTTGAGCGGTTGGTGACTACCCGCCCCTTCTTCGCACAGGCCGTACAGCATTAATGCCTACATGTTTTTTCTCTCTAAGGGTCTCAGCAGATTCCAGTGGTAAATAAACATATACGTGAATTAGCGTCAACGGTGTTCGCTGAAAGCAGCTTAAGTTTCTTCGACGTTATCCGCAATCATCATCAAATTTAACCAATTTATATAAAACCTTAACAAATTATACTCCTAAACCTTATTAATGAATCATTTTATTTATCGGCTAATAAATAGAATAATCTATCGTATTGAAATCTATTCTGTAGTTTTTGAGTTCATCGTGAACGGACAGATAGATAAGGCGAGGGACTTTGCTTTACTACCGTAGTGATGATCACGATATTGCTTCCTCATAAGAAGGACGTTGGGTATTGTTTACTGTAAAGGTTTAGCCAGTAACAGATCTTGTGGAGAATTTTCTGGACTTCATACTGTCATAATGAGTTAGACACTGTATGAACTTGTCTTAGTGGCTCCTACAGGAGGGAAATGTGGTACCATCCAAGATTTGAGGTCTACCACACCTCATCTCCATCTCTCTACCTTTTTTTTCTGCCCTTGCTTAATGTTTGTAGTAGGAGAACGCGGTCTTTCTACTGCGGATTTACAACAGTAACCCAACTCGAAGCGTTATTTTCTAACGTTACGCAATAACATAATACCTTAACCTATATACAATTTTATTAGACTATTGATCACACTGTCATAAGTGATTTTTGTTAGCCAATGGTGAATCTATCAATCAAAATATACGACTGTAGCACTACAGTATTACAACAGATTAACGTAGTTTAAAAGTTTTCCCATTTCCTTGAACTCATTTCGTTCAAAGCTTCCACTAGTCACGGTTTTATTACTAGACCACTAAAAGCCAGTGCATTTTGCTTAATTCAAATAGTTTTATCCACTAACGAGAGTCGATACAGAGACAAACATAAAACAGCAAAGATTCTGCTCTTTTAAAGCTTAAAATACCTTCGTTTTATGTTCAACTGTCAAGACAAATAACTCGAAAAGAAAATAACAAAAATACGATTCAATTTTCATGTTGACGCTATGTATGTTATTCCATTTAATTGCTACTTAATCCCCAAAGGGTTCAAAATACCGAAGTGTGCTAAAAATAACCTAAAATTAAGTCGTTAAAATCACATAAAAACTTAAAACAAAATTTAAAACTTAACAACTTAATAAGAAGGAAAAATATCATGGCTGTTACATTTTATTGAAGGTATGGACCCAAAATTTTGACCTTAAACGTTTTATTTATTGCTATATAAAGATATTCATCAGGTCAATGTAGACAGCAGAGGATAGCAGGCTCTTTAAGTACTAATAAAGTATTTCGTGAGGTTACGAGGATATAAACTGCGTTGGAAGGGTTTCATTTCACGAGCTTTCCATCAAAGCTTTTCAAATGGGCCTTTAAAAGAAAAGTTTTACATTGTGTTTCTGTTAAGAGGCCTTGTTGTTCTATGTTTTATATCATTTTTATTGACTCCAACCGTAAATTCTGTTTACTGTAAGAACAGATTGTGTTCAACATAATTTTTCGTTCCTTTTCTCAATGTATTTGAAATGGTTTAGCTGTTTTTCTATATTACGTAGCACCTGCTTCATGGCAATCACAGAAGAAGTAAAGAGGGTAAGGAAAACAGATAGATTAAATCGGGAAAGGGATAGAGATTATAGAACTTCAAGAAGGCCTCATCGTACACCATGCCGATGCTAGGTAGAAACATCTACTATAATTAAAAAATAAAGAGTTTTCGCATAGAATAAGCAACGCATACCAATCTACTTCCAGATTGGCTAATAAATGGCATAATTCTAGCAGATCCTAGATCTTACACTAAAAGTTGTATTATGACGGCGTTACAAATCAAGGTAAATGATAATCCCTGATCAAAGAACATTGTTCTCAATGTTTAGAGATTAATCGTAAAAGGTATTGCACGGCCAGAAGACAATTTAGGTTAAAAGAAAAACTTTCTTCTTTGAGAACTTGCCAGAAACGTATTTTATGGATATCATTATTGATTTAAATGATAAGTATTAAATACATTTTAATGTAAAAGAAATGAAAAATCATATATTATAATGTTAAAGACAAATTGATTACTTAAAAGTTTTAAATATACAAGCAAAGAGCTAAAAATGAATAATTTTAAATAGGATATTAATTGGTGATTGATATGCAGGAGAAGGAGGTCATACGGACAAAAAAGAAAGAGCGAGAGAGTCTAAAAGAATTAGTGGACAATTACCAAACACCGAGGTTATAGGTTAGGAAAATATGGCAAAATGTTTCAGGTTTTATAATCTGAAAGTAAGAAAAGAAATATTAAGAGGTGAAGACAACGCCCGCATTACGAATATATCCTGTGTCGGGGAGGGCTTTACAAACATACATAAAACGGATACAAAGAACACCCAGACACAGAACAACAATTTGTGGACCACACAAAGTGTCGGGGTCGGGGTTTGAACCCACAACACTCGGCATAGTTTAAATGGCCGTTGTCGCTGTTTATTAAATAGACTTTGGTTCATTTACTCCGTTATTAATAACGAAATAAAACTTAGATTTATACCAAATATAAACTTACCAAATACTTTATAGGATTGTTGTATAAATACAAATAAAAATCAACAAAGGTCCGAGTCCATTGACCTGCGCATTATTCAACGTTATTGGTCCCGAGAACTTCAATAACTTTGTTTAAGTTGTATCGGAATTTTAATCTCTAGGCTTTGATTGTCAATAATATTTATTTGCTTTGTAACTTTGATAAAGGAATGTTCATTTAGATATTAAGGCTTTTGGGGTAATTTAAGTATTGGATCAGATAGTTGTTAGAACTGTGTCAGACTTAGGTCTTGTATTAATTCAATTAAGGAAAATTTGATGAAATTAAAAAAAAATAGAGGGCATATAAATAATGAACTGAAGAAATATTATTTGGAAGATAAACGTTATTTTAAGTAGCTTCAGAGAGAGTTCTACAGTCAAAGGAGGGTTTTTTCCAGGGTATTGAAATGGTAGCAGAAGCAGGCCGGGGAGGGTGGTGGCGCTATAGATCGCGCACTCCCTTCGGGGCAGGAAGGGAACATCCGGGTTCCCACATAAGAAGGGTCATCTATAAGCCGTAGATGGCCCGAGGTATGTCGGGGTACCAGGGCTTTCCTTTCTAGTGTATACCTGGTTCCCCGGCTAGTGGTACCTGGAGACGGCGTGCGTTTTTGGTCGGTTCGATTCCGACATAATCACCCACGGAAAATAGAAAAAAAAAGGGTATTGAAATGGTTTGCCTAATGTTTTTAAGCACCAGTAACTATAGCAGGTTCTTTACAGACTTCGAAAATTTATAAAATGTTTAAAAGAAAAATACTTCTAAAAGAAGTCTTACTTACTTTCTCGCATCTTACGTTCTATGATATAATATGTAACAGGAATTGGAAACCTTTGAATTGTACAACGTTTCGACAAATTCGAAACGGTTGGTACTTCAAAGATATAATTATTAAGACAAATATGAACGTTAGAACATATTAATAAGACATATATTGAGAAAAAGAATGAATAAGGAATTTTCCTTATTCATTCTTTTTCTCAATATATGTCTTATGTTCTAACGTAACACATACAAATCTAAAACTCACTGAACAGTATAAATTAGGTGTGCAGAAACAATTTACTTTCATCCTAACGATGCGGCGACGTAAGCTGTTAAAATAAAACGTTTGCAGAGCATCTCAATCAAGAGGATAGAAATGTATTGAGTTGGGCGTTTTATTTTTAGCGTTTTTGTTCATAATCTGTATGTTTTGTTTTTTGAAGTGAAAACTTCTTTAGCGGCGTTGTACACTTTTTTTTGTAATGGGTAAAAAATGTTAAACTCGTGACACGTGACCCTGATCGAAAATTCGTAAGACGGTTGTAGAGTAGACAGCCGGCGCGGCGTAGAAGAGGAAGTATCCTCCTCTCTTTCTACGGCGCGGCGAAAATGTATGCCTGCTTTAGGCATTAAGTCCACCAATGCACCAAAAGTGCATGATTTATAAATAAAATTAAAATATAATATTATTGAATTCAGATATCAGCATCAGATCAGTAGGTTCAGAGCAAGTGACTCTAATTATACTTCAGAGATTTAATCTAAACAACCTTTGCAAGTTAAATAAAGGAACGTTTAGTGTGTAGGAATTGTAAACTAAATGTGGTATATACAATATAAACATATATGGTTGTATGTTTATTTTGCGTGGGAAAGTAACTCGACAGACCGCTTTGTTCCTTAATAAAGGGCCATGTCCGACCCAAAAGTAGTTTGATGAGTACAAAAGTACACATACCTCTTTAACCTAACCTTTCGTCTGTAACGGCTTTTAGTTCATTAAGTTTTTTCGTCCTGTTGAAATTAATTATTCGGTACTTCATAATTATATTATTGAACACTACGATAGTAGAATTTTTATTAACTGCGACTAAAGATATATGTATTATAATTTGACGGGCTTGTTTTTCTAGTGGTTAGTGACCCTGACTGCTAAATCGGAGGTCGTGGGTTCGATTTCCACCTATGACAAATATTGTATGATGAGTACGGTCATTTGTTCTGTGTCTGGGTGTAATTTATCTGTAATATGTTTCTATTTAAAAATATGTAAGTATGTTTATCAGCAGTCTGGTTACCATAGTACAGGCTCTGCCTAGTTTGGGATCAGACTGTCGTGTGTGAGATATTTTATTAGGATTATAATTGACTGGCCAATTAGTACAGTAGCTAGCTAAGTAAGAGATCGTAGATTTGAGGTCCACCAGATATTTGATAACCATGATCATTAGTTCTGTATCTGGGTGAAGTTCATTTTTACTAGTAATAATGTTCTAGTTACAACTATTTCTAGAAAAACAAACCTTATGCCTGAAAATTCTATCATTGTAGTCTTCCGTATAGTTTTAAAAAGATACTTACGCTGTAATCCGACAGCCTCTGCCTCTTCGCATCCCTACTTAGTAGATCATACAGCAACAGCAGCCTGAGGTTAGTAGCAGACAGCTTGGCTTTAGATTGGATGGGTTGATTGCCACGACGCACATCCCCAAATACGTCGATAACTTTGCTGTTGTGAGGGTCATGTGCCATCTTGATCATTTCTCTGACGTCATCGGAAAGGTATTGGAGATTCTCTTCAGTGAGTTCGTCATCCGTGTAACTGTAAATTATGTGACAATTAAGTCTTGACCTGGTTAAAGCTGGTTTTGGGTTATTTTCGCCAATATCTGTGTAAAGTGAATTAACGATATCAATTGACTTGATTCGTTTCAGTTTTTGTATATGAGAGAGATTGTATAAGAAAAAAATTCGCCCTAGTTTTGTCAGGTCATGTAATTCAGAAATCTTTGTAATATATTACTGGAGCTTAGTGGGTGTATTTGGTTCGTTCTAACCAATTTCGGAAGCACAAAGTGATTCCTTGAATCGTATTTGCTGTTAGAGTTACAGAGATTGACTAACCGAAAAGAGACTTTGGGTCTCCTAAATCAATCAAACTACTATAAAAAGAAAACTAACTATCCAAGACCAGTGATGGGATGCAGCAAATCTTAAACATCTTACAATAAATATAAATTTTAAATTACGAATGTCTTGAGAATACGATTATAAAAATATTTGGTACCGAGAAGTAGAAAGAATCTTGGTATCATGTTAACATCCAATTTGATAAATTTTGTACTCACCCCTGTGATCTACTAGACATTTCCACAAAATTATGAGGAGGCAGCAAAGGCGAAGATGCTGGACCTTTTTCTAGCAGAGGCTTTATGGTTTCATCTTGTATGGACAACAGTGGACCTTCAGTGATAGCCCCTTGTGGTTCCAGGATTGTGTACTGTGAATTCTGATTCACTGGCAGCAGCACAAAGCGATTTTGGTTCTGAGTCTGGCGTTCTGATGGTTTTGGCGGAGAATTAGGTGCATATAGACCCGGCTTGTGAAACGGAGTAGTTAAGTCATTTCTGTAAAGTATAATTACAATAATTAATTTTAAGTTAAATTTTCTTCAATAAGTACTAGCTTTCCAGTAGCCTACTATTTACATAATATCTAGTGAACCAAAATCTTGGAAATACCATTTTTAGTTATTTTTATTCATAGTCTCCTGTTTTGCTAAGAAGCTGAGTTTTTTGGTAATAATACTGACGACCTCAACTTTTATTTAATTAATTGTTGATTTCAAGACAGTGGAGTCAACTTCTCGGCAACTCGTTAAGTCTTTTTTGGTAATTAAATGGATTTCGAAGGCTTTGACGGGTGTCCCGTGACAGTAGCCCACTGGTGGCAAAATAATTGTAACAGGACATATATTGGTGTGAAATATGGGTGTGTATATGTAAATAATTCCCAATTAAAAAGTCATTAATGTAATCACATTAGATTGGGTATCGATCTACATATTGAATAGTTCCAGTTAGTAAAATAATTGTGACTGGAGAAATATTGTGTGATGAGCACGATGATTGCTATAAGTGGCAAAAATTACCTTCCTCAGAGCTTTTTTCCCAAACTAGGTTGTTATTAACTTCAAGTCTATTTCGATACGGCTAGAGTTTAATTTTCTCCAACTACCCGTAACGATTGCCATAGATATTCGTATGGCAACCAGGACCGATGGGTCAACGTCTTTACCGAGGCACAAAGGGGTAATAATGTGTTAAGAATGATCACCCATCTATAGACTGGCCTGTCACTAACCACTAGACCAACAGGTCTAGTGGTTAGTGACCCTGACTGCTACGCCAGAGGTCGTGGGTTCGATTCCCACCCAGGACTAATAATTGTGCGATGAGCACTGTCAATTGTTCTGTGTCTGGCTGTACTTTATCTATAATATGTATGTATTTAGAAATATATAAGTATGTTTATCAACAGTCTGGTTATCATAGTACAGGCTCGGCCTAGTTTGGGATCAGACCGCTGTGTGTGAGATGTGTGTGAAATATTTAAAATATTATTATAGACTGACCTGGCTACGTATAAATTAATTTTTATCAGCAGTCTATTCAAAATAGTATGAAATCGGAAGGCCGTATGTAAGGTATTTTAAGTCATTATCATATAACTAACTTAAAAGGCCAATTACGTACCTTTTAACTTTAAAAAGTTCAGGAAAATGTAGCTTACGTTTAAACATTCAATGAAGTTAAATAAAGCTTCTCGCTGTCATAGTTCAAAGAGAATACATAAAGAGATCCTTTGTTAGCATTCAAATTTGTGAAATTGGAACGTTCGTCTCAATGGAAGATAAATTCTCAAGGTTTCAACGTGTCTAGATTTCCATAATTGAACAAAGGTAAAAATTGTCAGTAGGAATATATAAAAAGGTGTAAACATTTTTGTAACAAACGTATAAAAGAGAAAAAGGATCCATGTCCCCGCAATACAAAGAAATGATTATCAGCCTAGACTAGATGATGGAGGGTTTTGCCACGGCCTAATGGAATATTTAAAAAAGTTAAACATGAACTTATCGTCATGAGAACATTTATTGTGCGGTACAGGATTAGTAGTTGTTAGTGTGGATTTTATTCAATAGATGGCACTAAATTAAACTTTTCCTATATATGAAATCTTATTATGAGTTAACTAAATATCCACCATTTTCAACCACTTTTATTCCTAAAAAATGAAAAGTATTTTAAAAATGAGAATCGATCGAAGAGAACCGAAAAAACGCGGAGAATATTGCAATAAAATATTTGAATTGACTGGCCTCCTGGTAAGTGACCTTGAACTAAACTCGTGGTGGGTTTGATTCCTACCAGGATAGAGTAACAGGTCAGATTAACTGTATTCTTAATCTCCTAATTTAAAAATTTAAATGAGATCAACCTTATCAACCTTTAGCTAAAAAAGAGTTTTTTTTATGGTATAAAGGGGCAAACGAGCAGACGGGTCACCTGATGGTAAGCAAATACCGCCGCACATAGACACCTGCAACTCAAAAGACATAAGTGCGTTGCTGCCCTTGGAGTCCCTCCCGCTCGAGTCAGCGGGGATTTGGGCTCCTTTAACCTCATTCACTCAGTGAAAGGCAACGAAAGAATTGGTTAACACCGGTTTTCTGTGAGCCGGCCAATTCGTGCTGAAGCATGGCTCTCATGCTGAAGATGGCAAATCGAGTGATCGAAATCAAAACAATTTCTATTTTAGATCCTCGTTTTTTGTGGTCACGTAAAAAAAGTATTAAGAAAGATACGATAATATTTATTAAAATGAATTAGGGGCTTGGTAGTGCCCCCACCAACACGATTCAAGCGAAGCGCAAGAGCACTACCTACCTTTTCTTTTTGAACCATGAGGGTTCGAAAAATTTTGGGTTTGGATTATACCAGACAAACAAAATTTTCCAGGATATGATGTCAACAGTAGATTTATTAAACATCTAAAGTTTTAAGTGCATAGATTTTATAATTTATATTTTATTGATATCTAAAAATCCCCGATTTCGTCACTCACTCACTGATGAACATCAACATTTTTAGGGTACCTCCTAACTTCCTAGAAAGCTAAATTTTTGTATGTAAGCTTGTATTAGTACACAAAAACAAAAAAAAAACTTAAAACTTTTACCCCCCCAACCCTTTAAACTAGGGGATGGAAGTTTGTATGAGACTTTTGCAAATTTTGATGCTAGAGGGCTGAAAATAGATATAATATCGACTCCTACCCGTATTTATAAATAATTGTCGTATTGTCATAAGCAACTTAAAAAAAGAAGCGAAATTCCACCAATACTATTTTCTCGTCAATAAGTTATCAGATCTCATGTAGAGCCAAGCTCTACATGAGATCTAGAAGAAACTCTACACGCTTTAACTCTACAAGCCCTTACTTCACAAACTCTTCAACTTAGTTCAAATATGTAACTTGGCTGTTTCGTTATTACGAGAACTTTTGTACGAGTATAACAGAAAAGTTAATTACAGTGAATTAATTTTTCACCTTACGCTCATGTGACGGTAGCTAAATAAATTTATGGTCGTAATATGGTCTCGTCTTGGCATAAACATTAAAATGTTTTTGGTGAGATCTGTATTTACGTAAATGTGTCTTTATATATTTTACGGTTGGAAATACCTGAGATTATCCACAGAGTATCGAAAGGTAATTATTCCACTGTCGAACCGACTAATAACACGCGTCCTGTTTTGTCCCCTGTGTTTTCCACTAATTAGAGAGACCAGGCAAAATAAGTATTACACGCCTATTTCGCTCGGCATATTTTCAAATAGATATATTATTTATTATGAATAGTCTCGTCTCCTCTTTTCTTTAATTACTTATATAACCATGGACTATGAAACATTATAATTCGTTCCGATTGATTAAATGGTCTAAAAAATTCTTTCTCTAAAGACAGGTTTCTTCCTATTCAAATTATCGATTTTAAAACAGAAGATCTCATTAAATAAACTTCATCGATTTTTTTATGTATGCTACCTATAGTTAAACCGCCGTAAGCTTGGCCCTCCTGATGGTTTGAGGGACGCGGGGCGGGGGTGCATTCAACCAATTAGCTAGTACGTCGCTGTTAGCCGGCCTGTGCCGCCGCAGTGACTGACGTGAAAGCAAGGCTGTGCGTGTTATTTTTCTTAAGACTGCTACACACGGTATTATTTTGCAACATGGATAATCTGCCGACTCTGCGTCACAAAAAGATTTAAAAACTTGAAGTTCGGCCTACAGACTTTCTACTGTTAAAGTTCCAATAAAGAATATTTATTATTTTACTTAATTTTTAAATTGTATCTGAATATAATTTACATGATGAAGATAAGGTGATTTTATTAAAATTATTTTACAGTATTAAATTTTACAATTAATCATAAAAACTTTCAATACACTGACATTATATTACATGGAAATAAATTCAATTTTTATTACATCGTGTGTAGATTAAATCTCAAACGAATAAATCTAAAGATATCGAGTTAGTACATCGTGTCATGTATAGCCGAGCGCATCACCCGCCCCGCGTCCCGCAAACCATCAGGAGGGCCAAGCTTACGGCGCTTAACTATAATTATACAAAGACTACTGGACCGATTTAGAAAAATCTCTAATGTTTGAATTGATGTACATTCTAGAGGATCACATTTCTAATATCCTAGGAAGTTAGGCTCACACTGCTAGCAGTTAAAGACTATATTTTTAATTACACTTTAAAGAATAATTCTTTTCAAACTACTTATTTGATTTGAATTAACCTTGGTCATATTTTTTGTCTCTTTTTGTTAATATTAATATTAATATAATGGACAACTGATGATAAGATTTTCGTTGCACCTGTAACTGAAGAGATACGATTGCATTGCTGACCTTTGAGGGGGGGGATGTTCTTTTTTAATCGTTTGAAGGCCGCGTCGTAGAAGATTTTGTGAAATACACAAAGAGGAAAATGCCAACAGTAGGATGGCGTAGTGGTTTGTGGACGGACTGCGCGCGGGGGTTGGATTCCCACTCAAGTCAAACTTTGTGTGCGTTAGCACTTATGGATGTCTTTAAGTTCAAGGGCGGCGATGGTTACTTTCCATCAGGTGACCCGTCTGCTCGTCTGCCCCTCTGACATAAAAAAAAATACAGTGTTTAATGGCAAAAAAAGTATTATATTCTACAAAAAAAGCATGTATGTATATTTCTATCAGGTGGCTGGTACCCATAGTACAAGCTATGCTTAGTTTGGGACCAGATGGCGTTGTGTGAATGTGGTAGAATATTATATTATGATTATGCGAGTGATTGGAAATGAACGATAACGGAAAGCTAGGACCAGTTTAACTACGAACATTAATAAAAAATCGAAAATAAGAACAAACATTCCTCGGAGTATTTACTATTATACAAGTTATAGAGCAAAATAAAAGAAAAAACCTAATCTAAGCTAAGAAAGTTCACACATAATGTGCTTCTGCATTCTCTTGCTTGGATTACAAGTTGACCGCCATGCGGCAATGATGCACCCATCCTGCAAATCTGGTTCGAAACGGAGTATTGGCCGTATTATGCCGTTACTTTTGCAAATATTTGATTCAAATGTAATCGGTAGGTACACACTCTTGCAAAACACCGTAATAAGTAAGTGTGGATTGAATTTTGAATTAATAACTAAGCAGAGAATTAGATTATTAAGAAAATATGGCATATTCTTTCTTTCATTGATAAAATATATTCTTACAACTAGAAAAAATTAAAAGAAATATAGAAACCGGATTGGGTTCAAAATACCCACCATTAAATATTTGAACTGTATTTTTAAATGCCCATTTAAAATCCGTGATTTTGATACTGGATAGATTAGAAAGTTTTTTTTTTAATCTTTTGGCGCCAAAGTTCGGCCATTTTGATTTAATATAATTTTGACATACTGCCGTGCCAATCCAAAATATTGTAACTTAACTTGAAAACGACTTTTGACTTTGAAAGCTTTGTTACAGTTTTTTTACTATGTTAAACCCTAATTTCAATACAATACAGTAATTTTCAGATTATTGTCCCTTCTAAAATAAACTTTAGAATAACAAAAGTGTTCATCAGGGTACTAAACCAACGTAAAGAAACTGATTGAGCGTTGTTAAGGCAAACACGTTGAGGTACAGTCTTTGGATTGGCACGGCAGCATACCGAGTTGAAAACGTCTCATCATCATCAACAGCCTATAATAGTCCACTGCTAGACATAGACCTCTTCTTAGAAAGAGAGTTTTTCCTTCTCTGTGCAGTGCTGTTGTCCTGCGTAGTGGTTCCCTTAGTCGGTTTTAACGACACCCACGGGATGAATAGGGCTGGTGACACCCCGTATTCTTAGTCCGTCACCACACGGAGTTGAAAACGTCTAAATACAGATAACAAGTTAGAACAGATGACTCAAAGTAATTTAAACGATACAGTTAGTATAGTTTACTAAGATGGGGCTAAACGGTCGATGGTTTATGAATTTTAAAAGTAAAAGTGAGCTTTATTTCTGTGCCATTAGTCCTTAATTTCAATAAACTTATATCTTTTGTTATATACTTTGTTTACTTCGTTAAATACTTGGAGTTACATTTGTTAGGGGTACAGATGAGTTTTTAAAGTTAGGTAATGAAATTATGTACAGTTGCGTTGTCTTGAAGTATGATTTCAAGTTTCCATCACCAAAAATATTTACAAAAAGTGAAATTATCAACTAGATATTTACAAAAGTAGAAATAAGTTTTGGTCGACTTCGAAAATCAAACAAGATTTACGTGCAAAAGTAATTTAGTTATCTTTTAACATGATTTTGCAATTTTTCTATGAACATGAAATTGAATAGACAATAAATTGCTACATTAAACAATTCTACGTTTTTTTTCTACATCCAACAGTCACTGATAACGATATTATTATGAAATTTAGATTTATGAGGCCTCTGAAGAGGCAATCAAAAGTCCAAGATTATTTTTCTTTTACTTTTTACCCAACGTTTCTATGACTGAGTGCAGTCTTATGAGTTTCTATAGATAAAAATTGGAATAAATAGTAAATTATCTTTTGATATTCAAGGAAAAATTGTAAACATATTTTCGAAGTCGATGTTAAAAGGCGTATTTACAAAAGCTCCTTATAACCTCTTAGTAGTAGTAAAACTACTCCACCACCCGCTCGTCACATACGGTCTCGACGTTGTCGTCGAAAATGGCCGGCGCGTAGTCGGCCTCGTCGTCGGCTTAGTTGTCGGCTGAGTTGTCGGCTTAGTTGTCGGCTTGGTTGTTGGCTTCGTGGTCGGCTTCGACGAAACTTCATCTTTGTTTTCAAATGCCATCTGATCCGTGATGTGGGCTATCACTTGCATCACTACTGGAAGATATGAATCGGACAACTGGACTTGTTGTTGTGCTGAGTCTACCTGCAATTGATTATTATAACTATATTGTGTCACAATCTTGTAATAAGTCAAGGTAAAAAATGAAAGAATGAGCTATTAGTTGAAACTCCAAAAATTATTGAATCTATTTTATCAAATTAAGTAAATAGCGTTGGTTTTCATGAAATGATTTTACGTTTCTTTGGTAATCTGGGAATAAATTTGCCTGGGAAAGCATGATCATTTCACAATTTTAGTATTAGCAAGAAAAATGTTGGAAGTGTTCATAGACATGGGAGAGCCACGGTTCGGCAACAATTGGCGGATTCAACCCGAGTGATACCACGGCCTCACAGAAAACCAGTGTTAAGCACTTCTTTCGTTGCTTTTAACCGAGTGAGTGAGGTTACTGGAGCCAAAACCACTTCCTTACTCTGACTACCATCAGGTGATCCGCCGTTTGAACTGTATAAAAAAAAAAAGAAGCGAAATAATGACATGACATTTTAAATCAAATGTTCCCTGGCTTCATGTTACACTGTTACATACTACAGTTCCTTCACACAAAACCCCACAAATTGCAGAAAGGTGAGAGCATATTCGTTCCTCATAAAAACTCATATAAATTAAGTCCCGCGAAAGTCTACACGTAACAACATCAATATCTGTCAACAGGTACTCGTAATTTTGCAACAGTTGACAAAGCCTCGCTCGAAAAGTATGACTAATCAAGTGTGGAGCTCATGAATAATTCACATTTGTCACTTTCGTTCACTTGGCTCCATTGTCACGGCACCAGATAGATTTCACTTTTAAGTTGCCTCAACTTGTTTTAATAGCAGGTGACATTTGTTTTGAACTCTGGACTTGAAATGAGCTCACAAATTTGTTAAAATTAACTGTACAGATGTGGCAGTTGTGGATGCTCTCTCTCTGAATCTTTTTTGTGTGTACTTTTTTTAAGTTATTTTGCCTGTAAGAATTATTTTGCCTTATCAGAATTTAGCTAATTTTTAGTACTTCCATTGTTTAGTTTAATATCTACTTTTTTTATTTAATTTAATTATTTTTGTACGAACATCAATTCATTGTACAATGGCGGACTTAATGCCACAGGCATTTTATCCAAGTCTTCCTTTGGGTGGTGGGGAAATGTCTGAGTAGGTAGGTAGAATTAAGTTTTCCTTTTTTTTCTTTTTAAAAAAGACAACTCCTGCAGTTGGAATATATCCTGTGTCGCAGGGGACTTTACAAATATACATGAAACCGCCACAAAGAACACCCAGACTCAGAACAACAATTTGTGGATCATACAAAGTGTCGTCCCATGTGGGATTTGAACCCACAACACTCGGCGTAGTAGGAAGCGGCGTGGCGACCGCTTAAACCACTACGCCATCCGTGCAGTCAATTCAAAGTCATATATGTAACGAGATAATAATAATTAAGGATATGGACAGAACCAGTGTGACAGATATACATACTGCGATACACATACGTATATACTTGCTGCGTTACATACATACATACGAGGGGTGATCAATAAGTAATGATAATCGAGTATTTCTAGAACGCACAAAAACCCAAATTATTTTTTTTCTGCTTGCTTAAATATCCACTACTTCAGCTTCAAAAAAATGTATAAATAGGACACCATTACCGGGAGATACATTCATTTGAATACGAACTGTCGAAGAGAAAACATCAAAATGGAGAAAAATGAAATAGGAGCTGTGATCAAGTACCTCTGCCTGAAAAAAATTTCTACCAAAGACATACACAGCGACTTAGAGGAAACATTGGGGGAGTCTGCTCCTCCATATTCCACAGTCGCACGCTGGGCAAAGGAATTTAAGCTGGGCAGAACCTCCACTGAAGATGAACATCGCGAGGGACGCCCTTCCACGTCCCTTACTGGAGAAAACGTCAAAAAAGTGGAAGATATCGTGTTGGCCGATCGAAGGGTGACCGTAAGGCATGTAGCTGAGGTCACAGGGATCTCCTATGGCAGCGTTCAAAAAATCATTGTCAACAAAATGCATATGAAAAAGGTCTCTGCGCGTTGGGTACCGAGAATGTTAACCGACGAGCAAAAAAAGAAACGAGTCGACATTTCGAGGGTGAATCTTCAAAAGTTCCAGGCCGATAAAGAATTCTTTTTGTCGCGTTTTGTGACCGTGGACGAGACCTGGATCCACCACTTTGATCCCGAAACCAAACAACAATCAATGACTTGGAAACGAGCTTCCTCACCAACGCCGAAGAAATTCAAAGTGTCAAGTTTAGCGGGAAAGGTTATGGCGTCTGTTTTCTGGGATGCAGAAGGAATTATTATGGTGGAATATTTGGAAAAGGGGGCCACTATAACAGGCTCTTACTACGCAGGCCAAATAAGAAGATTGCGAGAAGCTATTAAGTCAAAAAGACGCGGTAAACTGCGCGCTGGAGTGCTGTTTCACCAAGACAACGCCCCGGCTCACAAAGCCGCAGTTGCGATGGCTGCCATTGAAGAAACGGGGTTCGAACTGCTCGAACACCCTCCCTATTCGCCAGATCTAGCTCCCAGTGACTTCTACCTCTTTCCTCGGCTCAAAGAACACCTCCGGGGCAACAAATTTGAGGACAATAGTGAAGTGATGGCCGCAGTAGAGGCATTTTGGGAGGGTCAAGACAAAGAATTTTTTTTTAAGGGAATCATGGGCTTAGAAAAAAGATACACTAAATGTATTAACTTGCAAGGAGACTATGTTGAAAAATAAAATACTTTTTTTAATCTAATAGTTCTGTTTCATATTGATTATCATTACTTATTGATCACCCCTCGTATATATATATACATATAATAAACTATATAAAACTTTAGGGATGTGATGAATCTGCTTGAGTGTCGAGATTTCGAGCTTGGAATTTTGTCGATTTTATAACACTAAATTCTGCAAACGACTTGAGACTAATTTCTGAAATTTAGATAATTCAGGGTTCGAAATTTACTCAAAATTATTTGATGAAATTTAACTAATTATAGATATTTTTGTATTGTAAAAACATGAGTCAGTTACAAGCAAAATATTTCGACTAGTTTCACGTCCCATAATCTATATAGTTTCATGGCTAGTTTAATGTTACTAAGACAGAATGACATGCGATCAAAAAAAGCTACATAGTTTGGAAAATATTGAATTGTAATCAAACTTACCTGACTCAACGAGAGTATAGATATAATAAGGATAATTGTATGTCGAATCATTTCGGCACAATCTGAAATAAAACAAGAATTTTATTTATCGTTGGCAAATGTCCGTTTTGAAATATAAATCAGATCTTTTTTTTTAAGTGAGCCTTGCTTAAAATTCATTCATTTCCCTATCTAGAGTACCCGAGTTCTTGAGCTCTTAGCATTCCAGTGTAATTGCCACAAACCTTGTTAATTCATATGTTTTTAATGCTATTTATATGGATTGCCTGACATATCATCAGACATATTTTTTTCACTTCTGTGTAGATAGATATACATTGGAATACATCATCATCAACAGCCTTTAATAGTCCACTGCTGGACATTAAAGGCTGGCAGGCACACATAGAGAAAGGAGGTGAGAATACATGTGACAGCAAATTTTTTACATTTCGAAAGATGACACTTTTGTTTCTTATGTCAAATGATTCGATCCTGTTCGAAAATAATTGTTAATCAATGTTGAAAAATAAGGACAGGACCTGGCATATTTTTTGTATTTACCTATTTCATGTGAAAAGCCTTTATCGTGTTCAAAATCGAAACATCAGTAACGATAGTCAGTAATTAAGCTTGGCAACCTTTTGATTAAGTTTTGGTGGTATTTATCAGTTTTAATACACTATTTCACAAGATAGTTGAACAGCAATCAACGCCCATTCTCCGTATGAAACTGCAGTTTCTACCCGTTTGAATTTTATTACTCTCTTTTCCTTGGTCGGTATCAAAATTCGCAGAAGCAGAAAAGACCATTTACATTATTTGAGTCATGAAATTTCTCCATGAATCAATTTAATGCAAAAATTATCTTGACTAATATATTGAGATGTGTTTCATTTCATTCATGGAGAAGAACTTAAACTCAGAGAATCTAGAGAGATGCAAGGAATACCACTATTTCCTGTAGTTCTCAATCCGTAAGGCCCGATTTGTAACACTTAATCTTTGTCTGACGAACTCATTTATTGCTCTGAACATGGAGTCGTAACTCAAGCTTGCTTAAGCTCATAAAGTTTATAACTCGTAAAGCCTCGTGCGTAAAAACCAGGCAATGTTTCCAAGAGATTAGGATAACTCACATGTCCGGTTCTTTAGACAGGCCTTTAAACTAAACTAACAATTGCTAATATCTCGTTTCGTTGATGTTTTGTCTGCAAACGAAGAACTAAACCTATTTTTTAGTTTAGCCTTTTGTCAAATTATAAAAATTTATAGATTTTGAGTGTATTAAGAATCTTCCCTTCGATTGATGTTTAGTCTTTTTTTTTAAATGTCAATCTCTATATACAAGATACGGTTTATTAGGCCTGAATAATTTTATTCGTGTACGAAGGTTTTTATTGTTTTCTTTAAGTTGCTAAAATATTAAGGTGCATAATAAATTTAGTTTGTGTATACACTGTTTGTGATTTTTTTTTATTTATTTATTGCTTTTTTTAAGCATAATCGGTCCATAAGGTGGTAATAAAAGTTAAATGACATTAATTAAAATTAATACACAAAAAATAATACCTACACAAAAACCTTAAATAGGCTAGTTGACTCAATTTGAAAACTTGGTTAATTATATACTTTAAAATCAATTTTATCCAAAAAAAAGCAATATTTACATTACGTATTTTGTATTTAAAAAACAATTTAAATTCCCCTTGAAAACGCTGCATAGTGTCATGGCGTCTTGAATGACGTCACAGTCTGCAAAACAAAACTGTTTAAATCTGTGTCCAGTGGCAACTGAAACTGTATTAAGGTGAGAAAATATGCTAAAAACGAAAAACAATAAGGAGTAACCTGCTCTGTTGTATGAAAACGTCAACAACAACAATGATGTTTTGCATGGCGACACGTGACACTTCTTGATTGGTGTTCGCTGTCCCGTGACTTAATGTCCCGTGAATTTATTTAAAAAAATAATAATAAATTAATAATCTTTAACTTTTATGAAAAATAGACTGTGTTTTCTTATCTATGTCTCTTCATTTATAATTTGAAACTATAAACCAAGCAATTTGTTATTAGTGGACACAAGCCTAATTTTTCTCAGCAGAATACAACAGACACTAATTGATTACTAAATGCACATAATCGAGTCAGGAAAGATGCTTTGTGTCTCCTCAGGAGCCCGTAAAAATCATTAACTTAGTTTTATGTTTACGTAACATATTTTTGTTGTGTTTCACGGTCGCAACAACCTACCGTCCTTCTGAGTTCATGTAAGCCGTAAGGCTGTTATGTTAGTATAGTATCTTAATGTAATGGAACACAGTACACATTAAAGTTCTTCTTTTATTTGAGAGTAGTAGCCATACGTAATTTAGGTTTCATTTTCTTGTTAATACGACCTATATTAGACAATGTAATTACAGCTTCTATCAGAGAGGATATATAAAAATGAACACGAGTTGAAAAGGTTTTAGAAGGACTAGACTTTTAATATCACAACAACAGCTTTTAATAGATCGCTGTTGGACATAGGCCTCTCCTTAGAAAGGAGGTTTTGGTCTACTATATCACGCTGGCCAGACCTGTTGGTATAGGGATTGTTTCAAGTTTTCCTTCTCTTTGCAGTACTGTTGTCCTGCGTAGTTTGCTTCCTTAGTCGGCTTTTACGACATCCAGGAGATGAATAGGGGTTCTTCGTGTTCTTAATCCGAATTTCTGGGTACATATCCACAAAATTGTGGTGGCGGATACCCACATATGTATATGGGTGTGTAAATGAATGTATGATTCGAAATTATTTCGTACTACCATTTAGAAACCCGTAAGAAAAGATTATATTCTGTTACTTTATCAGGTTGTAAGTCTAGGAGGCTAGTCTACAAGGCTAAGTCTTTTTTTTTAAAGACAACTACTGCACTAGGAATATATCGTGTGTCTGGGACTTACCAAAAATACATTAAACGGACACAAAACATTAATTATCACACAGTCACACAAAGTGTTGTCCCATCTGGGGATCGGACCCACAACACTCAGCGTAGTAGGAAGCCGCGAGGTGACCGCTTCAACCATTACGCCATCCGTGCAATTAAAGTCCAAGTTTTATCATGCATATTTTAAATGACAATTAGTTATTAAACCAGTGTTTATTCACGTCTTAGCGCAGGTAATTATAAGTTTCTACATAGTTTATTCTTTAACACTTTGGGGTTGCTTCGCTTACGTAAATATATTTCCCCCCCTTCAAACTTTTTGCCGTGGGAGGGCTATGATTTGTGCTTTTTAGGGCTCTCACTTTTATGCAAAATAAGACTTAGAATACTTCTTATCTTTTAGATCACACAATGTCCTTAAAATAATTCGTTTTAAGTAAAAAAAAAATTAAAACTTCGGTATCGATTTTAAGATAAGATTTATTTGAACTGTATGTTTTGAGTAGTCTTAATAATAACAATAATAATATCTTAAATCTCATAGACAACTGTCTGATCCAAAACTAGATAAAGCCTGTACTATGGCAACCAGACTGCTATAATACTTATATATTTCTAAATACATACATATTATAGTTAAATTAAACCCAGACACAGAACAAATGATCGTGCTCATCTCAAAATTAATTGTCCTGAATGGGAAACGAACCCACGACGTCATGCTTAACAGTCAGGGTGACAAGATCATAAGGTCAGTCTAGTATACGATAATAATTTAAATCCTAAATCAAAATCAAATCAAATTTTATTTGCTGTGAATGTAGGTACATTAAATTAGAGATGGAATGGTTTAAAATGATCCGTGTACATTCTGCCTTAAAGTTAAGAATGTAAAAAAGAATCATCAAAATCGGTTCACCTTACTGCACGGATGGCATAGTGGTTTAAGCGGTCGCCACGCCGCTTCCTATTACGCTGAAGTGTTGTGGGTTCAAACCCCACATGGGACACACTTTGTGTTGTTCACAAATTGTTGTTCTGAGTCTGGGTGTATGTGTCCGTTTCATGTATGTTTGTTAAGTTCCCCGTGACACAGGATTTCTTCCTAGTGCGGGAGTTGTCTTTAAAAAAAAAAAGAAAAAAAAAACCTAGTCAAAAGTAACAAAAAACGGTAACAAACATAAAAAAAGAATACAGACGAATTGATAACCTCCTTTTTTTGAAGTCGGTTAAAAACTTAATAAAATTAGGGAACTTAATAAAGTTACAAAGAAAAAAAACTAATAATTAATAGTTAAGATGTCAATGATCCACAAACTAATTATTATTATTGTAAATGTCAATGCTTCAAAATTATTAAATTACAAGTCAAATGAATTATAAATTGTGATTACCTATCAACAGTAAAGTTACAACATTAATCCTGTATCTATAATAGGTACAGGTTTAATTGTCACGAGTATAGTATAGGTCCATAGTATGGTACAGGTCCCGGATTCGATTCCCGCTCAAGTCAAACATTTGACGGGCCTGTTGGTCTAGTGGTTAGTGACCCTGACTGCTAAGCCGGAGGTTGAGGGTTCGATTCCCACCCAGGACAAATATTGTGTGATGAGCACACGGTCATTTGTTCTGTGTCTGGGTGTAATTTATCTAAAATATGTATATATTTAAAAATATATAAGTATGTTTATCAGCGGTCTGGTTACCATAGTACAGGCTCTGCCTAGTTTGGGATCAGACGGCCGTGTGTGAGGTGAGATGTGTGAGATATATATTATTATTATTATTATTATTTGTGTACATAAACATTTAATGTTTGATTTGGTCTGGGTGTTATATGTATAATATTCTAGTGTTTATAAAAAAAAGTATTTATGTGTTTATATCAGTTGTCTAGTACCCATAGAACAAGCTCTGCTTAGTTTGGTATAATAGTTAGAGTAAGGAAATATCGAAACGAGATAACGTTCCTTCTAACGCAGTGTAGTGTTGTAGGAGTGCCCCTTCACTTAAGAACCGGCCCCAGCTAACGGTTTGTGCAGGAGTCAATAGAGCCTTGTTATACTCGACTTGTTTATATTCGTGACCTAGAAGGCTTGCTGTTTTGTTGTTTTGTTATGATCAAACGGTACTGGAATAAGTTC